TGAGGGGGGTGCCCCGTGTCCGGGTGTCTGTCCATGTCTGCTATGTGTGTGTGGACCTTGTTGTGTCTGGGTGTGTGTGTGCGTGTACCAGCGAGGGTTGTCAGGCTGTGTGTCTGTGTGTCTGTGTGGGAGGAGGGTGAAGAAGGGGAATGTTGGGTCCGGTGTGCATAGGGGGGTGACCCAGTGTGCAGGGCCAGTTTGTTATTTGGGCTGCAGGGGCTTGCAGGGAGGTGGGGCCTCTTCCTCAGGTCTTGGTAAGATGGGAGGGGGCCCCTCACCCCCTTCCACAGACCCAGAGCCCCCCTGTGGTCCTGGACCCTCTTGATGCCAGCTCCCCCCTGGGTTGGTCCAGCCTTCTCTGCCTGGGCGGCGGCCACCTGGGATTCAGCTTTTCAGGTTCCCTTCCAGAGACCAAGGCCACCGCTGATGACCTGCAGGAGAGGTGCAGCCATGGCTCCCCCATCTCCCCCAGCTCCTGCTGGGCCTGCAGGAGCCTCCACACAGGTGGCTCTGATCAAAAAGAGCAGTTGCCACCTGGCTGATAACAGAGTCGAGCTAGCCACTAATTGGCCCAGTTCAGCCAGCACTGGGAGGCAGCACAGCAGGTGGGGGGCACGCTGTGTGCTCCCTGGGGGTGGCTGACTCCAGCTCTGGGCTTGCAGGGCCCTGCCATGGGAGCCTGTGCTGCTACTGAGCCAGTAGTAGAGGAGCTGTGGCAGCAGGCTGGGCAGGCGGAGCCTCAAAGCTGTTATAGTCCTGAGGGCACAGGTGGGGAGACTGTCAGTCAGGGTTTCAAGAGACCCTCTGACCCCCAACTTCCGCTAGCTCTAGACACTCAACACTGCCTCCCCACCAGAGGCAGAGACGGGGTTTGGAGGCGACCACCAGGATCGTTGATTGGCTGAACGAGCCTGGGGGAGGGCGCCATTCAGGCTAAGGCCCTGGAGGAGGAAGGGGACAGCTGGGAGTTTTGGGGTTCAGCACAGGAGTGGAACATGGGAATCGGGATGGGTTGGGGAAGAGGCCCAAAACCGATGACTCCACATTTATCAGTGCCTCCTGTGCCGGGCCTGGGGCACAGCCCAGTGCTCGCTGATGTGGCTGGGCACCAGCAGCCTGGAGGCCCCCCCCCCCCCCACAGTCCCGTGAAGTGGCCTGCAACCCTGTGCCCAGGCTTGTCCTCTGGGCAGTGCTAGTCAGGCAGGATGGGCTACACCCCACCCCACCCCACCCCACGCTGCCCAGGCCAGCAGGTCCGAGCTCATGTGCCTGGAGTCTCCCATGTGCCCCACCACAAGGTGTTGCTCAATCCCCGCACGCCCTCCAGGTTATCACTGGGTCTGGTGGGAAGGCAGCGCAGCACAGAGAAACGGCCACTTCCTGCGGCCATAGCTGCGGCTCCAGATAAAGGCCAGCCAGAAGCCCAGGCCAACCTAAGAAGGCTGGGATAAGGGGCCAGTTTCAGCCACCTGTCTCACCCCTGAGGGACACCCCACTGACTCAGCCCTCAGCCTCTGGGCTTCCCACAGATCACCACCTGGGCAGGGCAGGCCTCGGGCTGCTAACTGCCACCTCACTCCCATGGGCCAGAGCCTCTGCTCCCTCCTCACTGAGGCCCCCTGTCGAGGTGGGTGACCAGTGAGGGTGCCTGTGTCACCTCTGTCACAGCCGTGCTCGCTGGGCTGACCAAGGGGCCATCTGAGCCTGTGGTGAGGCCTGTGCACTCTACCTTCCAACACACCCTCCTCCCATTCCTCCTTCCCGCCTCTGCCTCTCCCCCACATCCATTTCTCTCTTGTCCTTCATGGTGAGCCTGGCTCCAACCACAGTCCATTCACTTGTCCCACCTGCCAGCCCCCGAGGCCAGGGCCCGGCCCTGGGCAGCAAACCACAGGGGGGCAGGTTGGAGGTGGAGCTGGGGGCATGAGTCTGTGGCCTGAGACCTGCAAAAGCACCTGTGGAGTCCA